GTTTTGAGATTCCATGCTGTTGTGTTTGGTGGTAAGTTAGTAAGTTTGGCTGTGATTTCATGTCTATTTTTCATTTGGGATAGTAACCATATTGCGTTATTGATTCTGACTGAGTCTCCTTTGATTAAAGTGCTTCTTTGGTTGACTAATTTGTCTTTGATTTCTTGGTTTTTGAATGTAATTGTTGCATATTGCCAGAGGTTTTGTGTGCTTATTGAGATCTCTTGAATTTCGCCAAATTTGGTGAAGGCTTGTTTGACCTCAATTAGTTTTGTGTTTAGGGGGATATCTCAAACCACTATGGATTTGCTTTTTCGATTTTGTGGCATTTGATTTCCATGTGTTTAAGTTTGTGTTCACCCATTTCGGGTAATTCAATTGTTGTTGTATAATCTGCTACTTGTTAATCTCCAAATATAGCTATGATTTTCTTTTCTTTGTTTTTACCTTCACTGTGAACTGATAACAAACCTTCTGGTGAATTGAGTGTGAGAATAATGTGTTCAATTTTTTGATTAATTGTTTGGCCTTTGACCTTTCTTGCTAGGATTTCTAGCTTGAAGCATTTTCTCCTATATCGGACTGTTCTATCAAAGGGTGAGATGGGTCTTGGTTTTCCTCTATTGTTGTAAGTTTCTTTTGCTTTTCCTTTGTTGACTGTAAATCAGTCTTTCCCAGTAGGTTCATGATCTTTCGTTTCCATTTCTTCGTTTGTGTCATCTAGGTATACTGTTCTGTTCTCTTGAACTTTTTGTGATGTTTCCTGCTCCACCAGGTCACTCCATGATAAGGTTGAGTTTGATTCTTGACTGTTTTGCTCTATCGGGAGGTTGGTTGTTGTCTCCAAGTTTGCTTGGATGTTTTGTTGTTTGATGGTTATTGTTGTGGTAGTGATTGAAGAGTTTTTTCCTGTGCTTGAGTTGGTTTCAGTCATCTTGTTGTTGAGATGGCTTTTATTGGCTGTGTTGTTAAGTTTTTTTGCATATGGTTGTGTTCTAAGCAGAGTGTTTTCCTTTCCTGCTCTTTTTTTATATCTAATGGATCATTCGGTTGTGGTTTGTATTGTGCTGGGCCTTCTTTGGCTACTACTGTTGCTTACCATCTTTCCTTGGAACTATTTTTCTTTTATTTCCTAAAAAGAAAATTTTTTATGATTTTGTTGGTTATGGAAAAGAGTTTTTTTTTTGTTGCAAGGATAATATATTCTATTTTTTAATGGATTGTTTGATATTTAGCAAGGTTTGCTAAAATATCTAATTTAAAACATTCTCTATTATATCTAACTGTTCTGTTAAAGGAAAAAGTATGTTTAAGTTTTTCTCTAGTGCTAATAGTTTCCTTTTCTTTTTTTTTTGTTAACTGTGAACCAGTCTCTCTCTATATATTTTGAGTCCTTTATTTTCATTTTCTTATTTGTATTATTAAAGCATACTGTATTTATTTCATTATTTTTTAAGTCCTTTATGTTGTTTTCAATTTAACAAGATTGCTTTATGACAAAATTATATTTAATTCATGGCTGCTCTGTTCTTGTATAAAATTTATTGTTGCTTTTAAGTTTGTTGGTTTTTTTATATATAATTGTATTCTAAGTATAGGATTTTCTTTTCCTACTTTTTTTTCATATCTGATGGATTATTTAGTCTTAAATATTAAGTGTCAAACTCTCTAGAGCTGCCACTATTGCTTGTTATCTTTCCTTGAAACCATTTTCTCTTTATTTTCTAAAAAGAAAATTTTTATGAATTTTGTTAATTGTGAAAAAGAGTTTTTTTTGAGAATATTATAACTTTATTGCCAATAAATTTTTATTATCAAATATTTTTTATTAAAAATATTTTTTGCTGATTTTTTTTTGTTAAATGATTTTATTGCTGAAATATTTTATTGTTGAATATTTTGATTGTTAAATAATTTGATTGTTAAATAATTATTTTTTTGTTAAATTATTATATATATTTTAAATATTGAATAGCATAAATTGAACCAAATATCAAAACTTTAGTATAAACTTCTATTAATAAATTTGAATTTAATTAGCTGTAATTTTGCAATTAAATAATCTAATTTGAACTAGTGAAAGTGAAACTATTTTGTCTAGAAACATGTATTTTATATTTTATAATATATTAATAATATATTAATATAAAAATATTATATTTATAATAATTTTTAAAAAATTTTGAATATTATAATTAAAAAATATTTTGTTTTTTTAATATTTTATATTTTAAATAAATAATTTTATTAAATAATTTTTTTGTATTTTTAATTAGATATTTAAAAAAATAATAAAATTAGAAAATAAATTTAAAATATTTTTAAATATATATATTTTTTAATAAAATCTTATTGGGTTATAATATAATATACAGGATGACTTCTTCACCACTTCAAGATATTGGCCCTAGCAACTCATATCATATTCAACTAGTTAAACAAGATATAATAATCAATGACACCAAAATCACAATGACAAATCCAGGTCTACCGATGGGTAACATGCTTTGTATTATCTATGAGATCCTATAATGGTGTCCCATTCAGTATAACATCGAAATTAGGAATAACAAAAACATCATTCGAACTTCCCCCAGTTTCCCTAGAAAACGAACAAAGGTCAACTTTGCCTCCCTAATATCAAGAATTGAACACATGACAGCACAAAAATCTATCAATCTCAACTTCACCAAACCCAAATTCAATCTGAGAACTATCAGTAGTATACAATGGAATAATCCACTCCTACATTTCACTGAGAACCTTACCATAAATCATACAGATTTGGGAAGCTGCTCAAGATGGTGCAAAAAAATCTTTAGCATCACTAAATCCTATGTACTATGTGAAAGCTTCTCTGTATTCAAAACACTCAATCAATCTCATAATACTACCGACCTCAAAATAATCAACTTATCCAATAAACATTTAAAAGGACTCCATAATAACAGCTACAGCAACCTAGTAGCATTCAGAGTCAAATTACTATCAGGTACCCTCCCCACACGAGAATTCCTTCACAAACTGTATCCCGAACATTATAAGGATCCATACTGCCCCAGATATAGTCTTCGATCAGAAACTATCTTCCATATTCTCAATTATCCCAAAGCAAAAGAAGAAGCCAAGCAAATCATCAATTCAATCAATGCAGTCTTTCACCCAAACAACAGTAATCACCCAATCTCCAATACATGACAAATAGAAGAATTAGCATGTGGAATTACCACAAATATATTTTCTACAGTGGACATTCACAACTGGATCAAAGCATTTATCAAAGCCTTTACAATGTTCTATAATCTCACGTGGAAACCCCGTTGTAGCACAGCAAATACTTCACCTTCCACAGGTATCAAATGGAACGAAACACTTAAAAAAAACAATACAAAGAACAACAAAGCCAACAACAACAATCCTAACCCTAAAGCAAGCACTTCAAGAGCCAACTCCACCCCTCACATTGACAATAGCTCAAATCCTTAAAACAGTGTTATAACAATTGATCTCCCTATATTAGTTGGAAAACATTTATCCAAAACAACTTTAATTTTTCATTATGTATTTCTAATCTCATTTCAAATCATCACAAGTTTATTTCTCAAAATAACTCTGAGTAGGCATACATAGCTGCTCAGTATCATTTGATTAGTATACTAGTTTTAAAATGTTTTTTCTAGTAAAAGTTAAATGATTACTATAGGCTGGCTAGCATTAAACTTATTGCTAATTACACGTAAGAGATGTTGTTTCTTTTCAAATATATACCTTGTAATATACAAATAAATAAAGAAATGGTGTTTACCTACTCAAAAAAAAAAAAAAATCTACAGGATGACACAAAAATTTTTGCAATTTTTTTTAATATATTTAACTTAAATAAAATTTAAATATGAATGTATAAATACTATAAAATTATTTTTAGTTATAACTAGTTTATATTAGTATTATTTTTTAAATAATTATTTTTAATTAAAAATTATATATTATATATTAATTTTATAACTTGATTTTCATAAAATTTAAGTTTTTATATAAATTTTTATATGTTTTTTTCGTGATAAATAATATAAAAATAATATATTTTTTGAAATATGACTTTAAAAAATATTATTAATTAATATAAAAAATATTTTAATTAAGATTATTTATTAATACTAAAAGATTGATATTTAATTTATATATATTTTTTAAATTAATATCTATTAAATAATAATATAATTTTTAATTTTTTAAAAAAATTTTGCAAAAAATTTTGTGCCACCTTGTATATACAATTTATTTTTTAAAAAATTTTAACAATTAATTTTAGAATATATAATATATTTTTTAAAAACAAAATTGCAATTTTTTCAAAAGTTTTTGCTAGTAACAAAACAATTTTTATTAATATTAGTAATAAAAATTTTTTTAAAAAATTACTTAATATATATATAATTTTTTGATTTTATTATTTTTATTTAGATATTTTTTAAAAAATAAAAGAATTTAAAAACTTTATACAATAGAAATTTTTAAAAATCATTATTGATTAAATACTATTTATAAATATATAATATTTATAAAAAATTTATATATAGCTTTTAAAATTTATTTGATTGATTTATTTATTTATTCTATTTATTTATACTTAAAAATGTGTATTGTTAGCAGAAAATCTGCTTAGCTAAGATCTGGCAACATGATTTTTGCATTATGCGACTTATTGGAATAATGACAACATTTTAGAAAATAGTCATGTGTTTTTATAAAAGCTTAGATGGTTTATTTTATAATTTGATAGTTTATGAGTTATAGCATCATAGTTTTATAGCACATTAGTTGATAATAAAGATAGCAATATAAATAGGAGTGGAAAAGTGTGGAAACAAGGATAATAATAATTTTAATAAAGAGAGAAATGATAAGGCAATTAAAAGGAGTTACTTTGCTAATAAAGAATCTTTTAATTAAGAAACTTTCCTTTTTAGTACTCTTCAAGTTAGAAGCTGTTAAAGAGTATGAAGAAGCCATTAAAGTATGTTGCTAACATGATGACAATAATGATTTCTAGCTATTAAACGAATCTATTCCATACAAGTAGCAAGGTCATGACGCCTATTTGTTGGAGGAAAAACTTGCCGATGTGTTCCAATGCACTGTCGGAAACATCTCCTCTGACCAGACTGTGGTGATCAAAATCAATACGTCACTGAACTCAAACATGGTGCTAATTCTGAATCACATTGATCTTAACGTAACATGTAGGATGACTTCATCCATCCTGGCAATCGAGTCTCCTTCACATCATATTTCTACTAAAGTTATTATTGATGGAGATACTAAAGTTGCAAAGATTACATTAGCCGAAGATGTAACTTATTTAGAAAAGGACTTTATATTGGTTGTTAAAAGTTTGGATCTTTATGTGCCAAGGTATTACTCGTGTAAGAAAATGCTTTTTTTTTTTTGATGACTAAGTAAAAAACTCCTATGCTTTTATCTATCATAGGGCGTTCGTCGAATATAACTCTACAACCGAAACCAATTGTGTTGTGCTTACTTTGGTTCCCAAATAAAACCTTGGTAGAATTAATATTTGTTATAGATAGGTAGAGAGAAATCTTTATGTGATGTTACATGTTATAAAAGAATTTATCTGAACATAATTTAAGATCAGGGTCAATGGAAGGCGAGCCTATTCAAAAAGCGGCCCAAACTCTTCAATTATTGCTTCGATCTCTTCCAGAATTAATGTGGTGTCGTTTGGTTCTCGTCACGATTCATTGTTCCCGCAAAGTCAACTTTATTCCGAGGTCACCCTTACTCGTGCTCTCGATCCTGGACGCCAATTATGGTGACACAGAAATATATGATCCACTAAAATGGGCGTTCGAAAATTCTAGGTTTGACATGCAAACATCTGTTTTCCTTCTTACTGACGGTGAAGTTTGGAACGTTGAGACATTGGTGGAACTTATTCGCACCAATGTTGAGCAAAAGAAGGATAACCTTAGATTGTTTTCTATTGGAATTGGCAATTCTATATCCCATAATCTTGTCGAATCTGTTGCACGTGCTGGAAAAGGCTACGCTCAGTATGTAACCATTAGTGAGCGCATGGATAAGAAAATTATAGGTATGATAAAGAATACTATCAAGCCTCCGGTTAAGGATTACAAGATTGTCTGAACGGGGAATATGATGATCTTGATAAAGGAGGCAGAGACAAAACAAACAATCAGCATCTTTGGCAAAAATCCTAGTCCCCCTCCACAGGATCCCATAATTACAGATACCAAAACTAAACAAGCACCATTTCTTATTCCGCCAATTTATTCTGGCGTTAGATTTGTCATTTATTGCATGCTAGCAAAGGGCTTTAGCCCAAATAAGAAGATCATGTTAACCGCACAATCTCCGGACGGACCTATGAAACCTAACATTCATTTAAACCCAGTAATGTCGCAAGGGTCAAAAATTCATACTCTTGCCGCCAGGAAACCCCTTCGAGATCTTGAAGACAGTGCCTCCCTTTATTCACAAGCATCCAAAGAACAAGTGGTTTATTTAGGAATAACATTTAATTTAGCATCGAAATACACGAGGTAATCATTCATTAATTAGTTTACACTACTAATAATTAATTGAAACCTTGAACTTATTTTCGACCATACTGTGCTTAGTTTCCTTGCAATTGATGAAAGTGGTAATAAGTCGGTTGGAAAGCTGTTTCATCCTGAGAAGAGAGAAGTGCCTATACAAGGAGCATTTTTTTCATCCTACATGAGTTCGTCGCAAGCTGCTTCATTCTACAGGAGTTTTCCGCAAACTGTTTCATACTACGGGAGTTCGTCGCAGTCTGTTTCACCCTACAGGAGTTTTCCGCAAGTTGCTTCATATTCTTTCGAAAACTCCATTGCAAGATGTACGTGAATCTATTTTTATGTATTTAACAGATAAATAGATGATTTTTTAGTTTATTCGAATTTAATTAGATTTGTTAACAAGTAATAGCCTGGTTGATGAAAGTCCTCTCATGAGAGTGTCAAGATCTGAAAGAAATCGAAAATTGATCACACGAGACCAAAGGAAGGAGATTCACTCTATAGTTCGTTTTTTTTCTCTGAAATTGTACCTAATGAAGAAAATGTTGAAGAATAAAAAACAAAAGGTCATGAACTCAAGCTCAACTTTAAAGAATCAAAAATCGAAGCATTGTACGAGTTTCTCAAATTTCAGTCCTTTAACGGTGAATTTAATAGTGCAGGTTTTTATCCGTGCTTTGATAAGAAGGAAGCTAAAGACTTTAAAGAGATTGGCATTGATAACGAAAAAATTCTGTGCACTGCATTAGCAATCGAATATTTGGAGGTTGTGATGTTTGGGCAATTTAAGGATGAGTGTGAGATGTGTTGGGAAAAAGCTAATAAAGCACCGAGGAAATTAGTTAATGAAGATGAGTTTGACGATGTTTTGAAAAAAGTCAGAGATTGGACTTTAAAGTGGGTAGAAACAAATTAACATTACATGTTTGTTACAGCATGTGATATTATAATTGCTTTAGAATCGCTCTTATTGTTACAGTAATTACAGTACAGTACTGTAATATCATTTTAGCTAATACAGGAGAGTATACAAATAGGATGTTGTTCTTTCGACATCGGAAAAATACATAGGAAGCCGATGCCTTGCACTTCATAAGTGTAGAAACAAACGAATTTAGGATTTTATACGATAAACTCGTACCTCCCTTTTATAAGAAGCATCATATATTGATAACGATCCCTCGAGTATTTACTAAGTTAGAGGATGTGAATATAGGATTATTGATGATATTATAACATGTTTTTTTCGGATATTTAACAACCATTTCATCAATTCCTGTCGCTAGACATAGTACTGTATATTCTTATTCTCTTTGTCGTTCCATATTCGGGCGTCTGCATCTTTATTTAACAAGACAATTGCTTGTCTTCAGAGTCGGTATCAATCAATAAGATACTGTAATGGTATTAAAATTGCAGTATAGTTTCTTATTAAAAAAATTTGTACTACTGTATAAACTACGTTACTGTACTGTATGACGTCATCAACTGTTTTACAGTACGGTTTCGGTTTTTTTAGTCCTAGACTGTATGTCAAGGATTTCAATCGTAGCAATACAGTACATGAATTCGTGATAAACATTATTTTTTGATTTGTACGTGACACCATAAAGAATACTGTACGTAAATCGAACAATGGATAATAAATCTTTTAATGGGTTTGTATGACACCACGAATTGACAAAATCAAAAACACGGTCTCAATGTCGTTTTATCATTCACCTTTCTTATCTTCTGACTCCTCTTTGTATCTGTCAAAACAAACCAGGAATACAGCTTCGTCTCGTTTATGAGCTCATGGGATTTTGATAAAGCGAGGAGCCACCTTATGGCCATTCAGCGACAAGATGGAACGGATGAAGTTTATCGACGAGGGATCATTGTGGCAAGTAACATATCACGCGAAACTTATCTTAAATTTTGTGAAGGAGAACCAAAGGTTTCTGTTAAACACCGGTTCGTTGATGGGAAAATCATAGCCTACGAGATACCTCTAGAACCTCATTCAGTGGTACAAGGAGAATTAATTGGTAGGATGTTTAACTGGAATCCTCACGAACTTGATGTTATGGGCGAAACGGATATCATTGTGAACACGAGAGATGTATATCGTCCTGATGCTTGTATCCGACCGCAACAACGCCGGCAACCTCCACAAATGCAGGCAGTCAATGCAACGGGTAATCCATACCCTACCATGGTCATAGAAATTGGTAGCACTGAGAGTCTAAACAGTTTACATGAACTGGTAACAGAATATTTTTCTCCACGCACCAATATTCAAATGTATTTGGCCATCAAGCTCTTTCCTCGTCGTCGGGATCGCACATTTGCATTGCTCACATTGTTTTACAGATGTGACCAACCAAATCCAACTGTACCTTGTATCGCAAAGTCTTTTGGGACTGCAAATCTTCATATTTCCACAACAAGGTTTCTTTTGAATATTCCGAATTTTCCAGCTAACTATCTTACTGGTGTTGGATGTGGACAAGTCGCTTGCGATGGTCCTAATTTGCCGGACTATCAACTCGCTATTCCTACCGACTTACTTTTTGACGATGTTCCTACTGGCGTACCAAATGGAACACCCAATGATTTTTTCTTAGATTTATGGAATATACAACGTGCATATGATCGTGCATCACCAAGATGATAGTGTTAAGTTTGTCTTTATGAAAAGTCCATAGCCTTGGAATATTGGGTGCTGTGGCTTTCAATGATTTTCAATGAATTTGATCAAAATAGTGGATCTGTGATGAATGTATATTGTCTTATTATTATAACAAATATTAAATATAATAAATAAGTCCTTAATGAATGAAACACTTGCTAATCTGATGTTGACATCTTTCACGGATCTAATGAGAATCCCAAAAAATTAGGAGCAAAGAAAATTCTGATTCTGATACCTTTCCTTCATTGCATGAACTTTTCGTGGGTCATGATACTAACAAATTTGTTTCGGTGATTTTTACCATTAGTGGTTCCTTGACCCAGTGAGTGTGACACATTACAATATTGTTCTTCAAACATCCCAAGTTAATTTCGAAATTGGTTTAACACATTGTTTTTATTAATGGAATTACCTTATTCCCACGCATAAAATTAATTATCTGGCATTTTATATTAAATAATTGTTGAATAATTGTGCATATTTAAAAATGTTTACCAATAATTATAAGTTTAAGTAATTATAGATTATTTATTTTTTCATTTACATAATATATAAATTATTAACTAATCTATTGTTACGGGGAAACGACGATCGACGATATGGCTTAGAAATTGAGAATGACGATCGCGCATTATAGAGGTTGCCA